GCAGTCCCAAACATAATCATAAAAGTAGTAACAAGAGCAAGTTTTCTAAACAAAAAAAAAAGTGCTCTCATTTGAAGAAAGAGAAAACAAAAAATACAGTATAGCATCAATAGTAAGGATTTCACTTATTCATGAAAGTATGGCTGCACCACAGCCACAAAACCTCATATCCTACCCAGATATATCATTCATTCATAACCCTTAAAGAAAAAGAGAATGGAAGAAGGACACCTTACGCTGGGGGAAAGGAAATCTGCAGTTAACAACATCACCCTATCCAGCAATTTGCCAGTGAGTCAGAAATAAATGGCAATAGCATCATAGCCCCAAACATGATGTGAACATTGCATGACATTCAGAGACCTAAAGAGCTTACGTTTTGGAAGATCTAATGTGTTTTTCCTGTTGACATAAAGCTGGATCCACAAAACAATATTTCTGACATGTCAGTCCACAAAATAGTCATGGAAAAATACAGGGACAGAGTTTTTAATCCTAAACCATATTGTTCAGAAGCTCTGGACTGTTACGGTTTAAAGGTAACTTGGCCCATTAAAGGGATAGGAAAGTTTGGATACAGATCCAAACACCCTCCATGTTTGGCAACATGAGTCAGTTTGTATCTTATTCATCTCTAATCACAAACAATTATTTTTAGTTAGGATTCCTTGGGCCATGGGAGCTGCCAGCTGCTGGATTCTGAAGAAGACCCAGCCATAACTCATGTCTCCAATTACAAGTTTCAGGCAGGCAAGGTAGCATCTTTGCATGCTGCCTGGGTGAGGTGTGGGAAGGTGATAAGCTGTAGTTGCCCTGATCAGTCCAAGTAAAGATGAAAAGTTCAGAGACATAGTTTACTGCTGCAGGTGGGTAGCAAACTCCCATACATCACTCAGAACAAGCATAACTCTCCTTAACAGCGTCCCAGGTATGAAAGCAGGCCCACCCCAGCCCATCAACACATGGCGAGAGTTGCAGCCTTGCAAAGACCTTTTCCCCAGTGCTAAAGCGCAGCCAAAGCAGCCCTGTGTGAGTTGCAGTGGATGCCACTGTGTCTCTGCCACACTGCAATGCTGCTGTAAGGGAAAGACACAATTCCACTCACAGGAATCCTGCAGACAGATCCTGGAGACAGATTTGTGGATGCAAGTAAGACCTTTCAAAGAAAGAAGGCAGGTTAAGAATAGCCAGGGAGGGAGGACAGGAAGCAAAAGCCAAGAGGCTGTGGTTACCTCTCCTGACAGATGTGACTTTGCAGAGAGGCAAAGGGGATTTGCACAGCAGGTCTCACCCAGAGCGACTGAGGCTGATGATTTCAATAACACTGCCCCAGGGAGCGAAGGGCTCCAGGCTCTGGCAAACAGTCAGTCTGAGCTGTGTCAGCTGCACCAGAGTGCTGATTAGGCACTTTCCTCGTCAGAGCAGACCCATTCAGCAGGAAATGAGGCCACATACGTGCTGCCAGAGCTGAGAAAGCCATATCCTGCGGGTCAGAGGCTCTGCTTGCGTGCGTCAGCGCACTTCAGAGCAGCTCAGGGAGGTGCACTGGTGTACGGAGAGAGCTGTGCACCCAGCCCGTGGGAGAAAAAGGCAGTTGTACTGCATGTTCATTTGGCCTTTGGGATTTTTGGTACATGGGTAAAACTGTCAGGGTGTCAGATAAGAGGCATGAAAAATCTTGAATAAACATTTTACAAAAGCAGAAATATCTCAGCTGCAACAAGTGGGTGGAAGGGATGGAAGATTTTAACAGTGAAGTAATGCAAATCATGCAGTTGCAACCCTTGATGCTGGCTGCCCCAGTTCCATTAGCAAACTCTTCCAATCCAGGCACAAAGGAAGGTTACAGACCACCCATCTGCAGCACAGAGGTTACAACCTATTTGCATAAAATCATCCAACAAGTCAGCATTAAACGTGGGAAGATGAGAGGTCAGAAGTCTGTGTTTCTCCACAGCTCACTCGCCTGACTAGTGCTGTTTGGCTCATGAGTATATTCCAAGAGATTGGCAAAATGTAGATTTATTAGGTATGTTAGGTGCTGGGTTGCCTAATGAATGCTGCTGGTGGTACATTTTAGTGAAAAGACAGAGACCTATGCACAGCAGCTTACAGTCCTGTTCCAAGCTGTGCAAAGAAAAGCTCTCCCTTAGTGAAAAATCTAAAAGAGCAGCTTCACCTGAGCTTATTTATGAAGTGAAAAGTCAAAAAGATTTTCAGCCCAAGCCACTTTTAAAGGTACATTTGAAACTTTAGAATAAATATCCCTTTAAGAATAAGAATGACTTTTTATGTTCTTATGTTATTGAAGAACTTTCAGAATGGGAGAAATAAACAAAATAATTCTACACAAAAACCCTGAACACACAGGGAACTGTCAAAAGTACAGAGATCACAAGCTGCAAAACAGAAAGAATAAGTTTTCAGTAAACTGTCAGGCATAAGAGATTTCAGAAGTCCAGGTATGCCTCTGACTCTTATCTTCTATCATAGGCTATCATATATGGAACCTTCTCACCATTTAATTGATCTAGCTCTGTCCCGAAGCTCATTAGGGTTCTTGATGCAATTAAAAGGAACTGTTACTGCAAACAGTAATTGACAACAACAAACATTGATACTGATTCTCATAGTGCATCTTTCAGCTCTGTAGGCTCTAGGCACTTACATGAGAGCTTAGGCAGCCCTTACTGATACCTTTACACCAGAATTTTGTACACCCCATTAAGAAGTTAGCAGACTGAAGGCATGAGACATGGAGTGAGGCATGACTGAGCCTAGCAGAATTATATGAGAAGGAATAAAACATCCATCCAGCCTAATATCTTTTCTCAAACAATGGCAAGCAGCAGATACTTTGGAAAAGAGTATGCAAAATCAGTCATCCCCTGTTTCCTCTCAATCAGCAGTCCAAGAACTTCCTGAAATGGAGTTTCCATCAGGACCATCAAAGTAAATATTTGCTGGTAGAGTTTTTTTTGTGAATATGTCTGTTTGTTTTTGAATAAGCTTATCTCTTTGATAGGATTTCCCTTTGCTGTATTAAAGGAGTAGATTCAAATCTATAAATTTTAATTAGCTCCCCAGGCTATAACTTTTAACAACTCCTTCTGCTTCCTCAAAGCTGCTGATTGTTCTGTGCATAATCCAGACCTGTCATTCTCTTGTGAGGAGTCTTTGCTATATGGACAAAAAAGTCTGTCCCTGGAGGAAACAAATTGTAACATTTTAAAGGCAGTGTTCAGTCTCATAAGGATCAGATTTAGCACATGCTAAATTGTCTGTGATGCTTAAAAGCAGACATGTATTATCCTGCCCAAGTGATTACTAGAAGAGGGGTGGAGTAGCTAAATCCGTACTAATTGCCCTATCCAGGGAAGCAGGAATGCCAAAGTGTTTGTATCATCCACACTTGATGCAACCCTAATATATAATCAGTCTTAACCCACCATACGTGCTGGTAAAAGTATTAAATCCATGTCTCTGGGGATGTAGGCTTTCAAGTGATAAACACTTCAAAAGTAGCACAGGGGAAATGCTGCAAGGTGACAACTTCCCTTGTCCTTTCTGGCCTAGCAGTGTAGGACCATTTGGCAAGACAAGGACAATAACCTTGGGGTGATGCACCTTAAGGTGCTATATCAAACTGTTTAGACTCCTTTAGAGAGAGAGTAAATACCAGTGGTCAGTAGATGTGGTGTCACAGCACAGGGCAAACACCAGAGCCGTGAGCACAACGTCTTGGCACAGGTGTCTTAAACGTTCTACAGCATTCTTCCTCATGCCTGCTGGCCGTGCTGCCACCAATGATGCCTGCTCAGCTGGTGCTACAAAAAAAATCTAGGAGCCGCAAGCTGGGGTGAGACAAGAAAGGGTTTAATTTTGCCAAGGCAATAGATGGTAAACGACGCGCGCCCTGGGCTGTGCCCGGGATGTTACATTTATAACAATATCTGGCCAATCCCAAGTGTGTCCACCCTATAACTTTTGGCCTGGTCCACCCCCTGGCCCACCTCCTGGAATTGGGTCGGGGGGCTTTTTGGGACCCCCTCTTCATCATTCTTCATCATCTTCGGGGTACAGAGAGCAGAGTCACCCAGTTCCTTGACTCTGTCCTGCGGTTTAGGCCAAGATACAAGCGTTCTCCAAACAAGACAGGCTTGCCTTGACTAAGAGACTAAACATCTTCTACTGGATATGGGAATAGGGTTGATATGGGGAGTATGGAATGGGGTGAGAGGATTAAGGAATGTATAAACTAAGGGGTACTACGGGGAAGAGGGAGAAAAGGGTTTGTTTCTAAAATCTGCTTCTATTACCTATAAAACTTATAAGGCTTACAAAATTAGAAAAATAAAAAACATTAGGGGGCTTAAGGCATCACCAACAGAGCCCACGGAAAGGGAGACAGCACTAATTAAAACAGTGAGGGAATGGTGGTCCTATTCCAGTTAAGGAGTGGGATGAGTGAAACCGACATGAGGGCTTGCAAAATTTTCAGCACCTCGAGGAAAGCTGAGAGGATGCCCAATACAGCCTTCCCATCCCAGCACTGTATCCCACAGCCTCCAGCTACTGGGCTGCCTCACCTGCTCGTAGAGAAGCTTTCTGTGCTCCGGGGGGGAGGGAGTTGCCGCTTCCTGTCGACACAAATCCGTGTCTTTTGGGCAAAATGTGTTTTTGCATGGGGGGGATCACGGAGGCTAGAGATGGAGCATCCCTGTCTAGCCCTAGTGCCACCCCACAGGCATGGGATGGAGAGAAGCGACAGGGAAAGGAAACGAGAAAGAAAGGGGAGTTGAATGGGAGGCAGGACAGTGGGAAGCGTAAAGGAGTACAGAGGGAAGGAAGAAAGCGGCAAAAAAAAAAAAAAAGGAGGAGAAAGGGGAGGAGATGAAAAGCAAGGGGAGAAGGGAGGACCGGGCGGGGGAGAGGCGAGAGGCCCGGGAGGAGAGGAGGGAGGCAGCTTGTCAGAGAGGGACGGGACGGGACGGGACAGGACAGGACGGGACGGGACCGGACCCAGCGCCCCGCGGGCCATGCGCCTCCTGGCCACGGCGCTGGCCGCCCTGCTGGCCACGGCCCCGGGCCCAGGTAAGCGGCACCGCGGGTGCTCATCGGCGGTAGCTCAGCCCCGCCCGAGATGGGGCAGCCTCCCCTGGGCCCCCGGGCTCCCCTCGGGCCGCCGCCGCCCCTGCGCGCCGCGGAGCGCGGTCCGGTGCCGGGTCGGGGTCCCCCCGCCGCCCGCACCGGGGAGGCGCTGCGGCAGCGCTGGGGCTCGGGCGGCGGGACAGGGGCTTAGCGGGACCTGGGGAGCCCGGCAGCACGGCCGGGAGGGGCGCCCCTCCTCCGACCCCCGCCCCGCCGGTCCCGACCCCGCTCCGCCGACGCTTTCCCGGGCTCCCGGCAGTAGCGCTTCTGCACAGCGACTCGATCCTTTTTAGAAAAGAAAACCCTTTCCGTGCAAAAGTTCACGGAGATAGGTCCTCGACCGTCTTCTGTGTCAGGCAAAGCGAGACAAAGGGAGGTTTGAGATTGTTTTTTTCCACAGGTGCCCTGATCCCATAGGCATCAGGTGGAAATGCAGCCCGTAGGCCACTTGTAAAAAGCCTCCTCCATTTAAGACCTTTATACCTCCAAAACCAAAGGTGCATTGGACAGCTTCTGTGTCCTGAAGCTGCAAAACGAACACAAAGTTCTGAACAGACACAAAGTATCTGAACTTCCAGATGCAGTGAGGTTAGAGGGGTGGGGAAGCCCTAGTCCTTCAAGGTTAATGAAAGAGTTGAATGTAAATCTTCACCACAAAAGGGCAGGAGATGGTGGAGGCAGATGTTTGGTTCAAGTCCATCTTTAGTCAATGCAGAAGCTTTCTGCGAGGGGGAGTCTCTGACTTGTGAAACTTGAAGACAGATCTGTTAACTGAAAACAGCTGGTTGCTTTTTGGTGCTGTTGCTAGCCAGCTCCTAATTGTTTTCATTTAAACAAAGAGCTTTACTTCTTCTTCACTCATCTGCTCTTTTTAATTGTAGAGAAATCAAAATAAAGCAGGCTTTGACAGTAGCATAGTTTCCTAGAACAAACTACAACACAGATAAAACCCATCCCATATGCTTGTGGTCGTGCAAATTTGAGATCAGAAGGTAACCATCCCAGTGGCATGCTTCTCTAGTCCCCCAGCTATCTGTCAGTCCTCCTAGTCCTGAAGGATTGGTTGTAGACTCTGCCTGTTGGTCTCCATGGAGGAAGGAAGAGTGGCCTATATACAGCACTAAACCTGGACTGTGAACAGTTGTGCACAGGAGCAACTCCACCCGTATCTCCACTTGAAGTCACTGGGGTTATCCCACAGAAACACAACCATGCTGAAACTGCTCACCACATGAAAGGACCAAGCAGTGACTGTAAGGCCTTTGCCACTGTTCTAGCACAGGCAGAGGGGATAGCCCTGGAACAAACAAGTTTCTGGCTGCTAGAAGTATAGTTTGGTACTCTTGGCAGTGCTGTGAAAATGTTTTGCTATGTGATATGGCAGACAGCAAAGTCCAGACCTAGCTAATTCTTGGAATTGAACTGGTCTAAGCAGAAGTGGACAATTTGCAAAATAGTAGGATTTTTTAAAACAGAGCTTAGTCAGCAGTCACCTTTCCTGACTCCCCACAGGCTAGTGAGACATGCAGGTGGAGAGTACCAAAGAAGCAAACAGCTAAAAGGTTGGGATGGGGGCAGCTAAGTGAGCTGTTTGCGAAAAGAAGAGACATGTTTGATGACTAAGCACACTGCAAAGGAATCCTCAAATCTTTGACTCACTCTCCTTCCCCTTTCTATAAATAGTTTCCCTTTCCAAGCAGAAAAAAAACTAAAACTCTTGTGGTGAGCTCCACCTGAGCAGCTACATCATGCTATATTGGGAAGGCAGGAGAAGGAAAACAGCGATTCCTCATTTGAAACAGCAATCCGAAGTCCAGAAATTCAGTGCTCTGTTGGCACACAAGCCTGCTCTCAAGTTGTGGAGAAGTCTCCAGTTCTTGGCAAGGAGCCCATTACAAGGGTAAACCTCATGTTGAGCCTGATCCAGTGCCTGCTAAGGACAGGAGTATATCCACTAATGTCTGGGAGTCCTGAAGAGGGTTTTCCTTTCCACATAAGAGGTATATGAACTCTTTCCTCCTGAATCCACCACTGTTCCTGCTTCAGTGGCAGTGGGAGGATTAAGTCAAATGGATACTGTTTTTCTGTTTTATATAAAGCATCACCTGACCCTGTTCAACATGAGCTGATATCATGGTAAAAGCATCAGGGGATTTCCAAAACTCTCCCCTTTGCTGCACTTGTGCAGCTGCACCAATAGCAGCCACAGAAGGAAGATAAGGAGATGGGGTCCCACTGATCAGACAACGTGAAGGATGCAAAATTTGATATGTGCTTATGAAAAGGCATGTCCCCAGAGGAAAAGTAGAAGCCTTAGATATAAAATACTGATGTTTGTATGAGTATAAACAGCTAGAAGGGGGTCAGAGACTCCACATACAATGCTGCTTTATCTTCTTGCAGAGGCTTCCATCATCACCATATCTGAGTTCCTCTGTATTTTCTCTGGGGTACTTTTTGGCACTATGTTCCACCTAGTTTCAAATTAAACAATGATTCTTTTGCCTTTTATTTTGGGACTCTATTTCACAATTACTCCTAGCCAGCTTTTTCAAACCAGAAGTTCACATGTCAGGAAAATGACATAATTGTTTTTCTTTACAGTTTTCATGACATGTTCATAATTTCAGTAGAAAAAGGTCTGCATTTTTCATTTCCCCAAACCATAATTTTATAAATGATTTATTAAACATTTATTGCCTAAGGACTCCAAAAAGTGTTGAAATTCTAAACTTACTCCTTATTTACTAAGCAGCACGACCTTCAAAATTTAGTCTTATTTTGATGGCAAAGGCAGCCATTTATAGCCTTCACATCTGCCAGGTCAGGTAACTCCAGCAAGTAATAACAGAAGTTTTGTACCTAGAAAGTTTTTGGTGGGATTCAACCTTAATTTTAAATTTCAGCATTGTGTTCTACTTGTGTGCTTTCTACAATCCAGAATTACCTCTTTCTTTGACATTTGCATGAATTGCAGACATCAACATCAAGGAGAGATAATTTTGTCAATAATCTCAGCCATGCTTAGCTGTAGTTTCCTGAAGAGATTTTTTAAAAAACCCAAACCATTCTTTATGCAACTTATTTTCTCCCTCATAAATAAAAAATTAATGTCTACTTGGAAAATACACACTCTTCAGTAGAGCTTTCTATTGAAATGACACAAAAATAATTATTTTACTATTCATTTTCAGAGAGTTCTCAAACAGTTGCAATATAACTTCTTTAATTTAGTGGATTTACTTTAAGTAAGGTGATACAATTCACTGCTTCATTTCACAGCTTCACTGGGGCCATAAAACCAGTATCTCTGCCTCCAACACTCCTTCAGAAATAGAATGGAAATACTTTACTTGCTTATTTTGAGGATAAATATGTGTTTGTGTTTCAGGAGCTGATGTCATACAAGAGTCTCTGCCAAAACGCACATCTCCTGTGTTAAAATGTTGCTTGCTGATGTGCTAGAAAAGTGTCCAAAAATGAAAAAAATCATTCTCTCAGAGTTGAAATTCTCATCAGTATTTGACTACAGTACAGTATTCACATAACAGGAAGCTTAATGTTCACAGTTTGGAGGACATTTCATGCTTTGCAGAGTGCATTGCAGGGAGTGCTTGCTCACTGCTGAAATGTGGTTCTCTCTCTAGCGGATGCCCTCAGACTGGTAGATCACACATTACAAATCACGTAGGGAACACATTGCCACAATACACCATTGGTCAAAAATAGATCAGTCTCTGATATGACTAATAAGGACATTCTTGATGTACATTAGGAAGGAAATAAAATGAGTGTTGATTCCCATGGCTCAGAAAAGCAGTCCAGTATAAATCGGTTAGGTCAGGAAAGGAAAATCTTCCTCTAATGAACAGCTATGAACACTTCTTTCAACCTTCACCTGTTGTTAGAAGTAAAGTGAGAGGCAAACAATTGGTCTAAGTGACGTTCATGATGGAGAACATTCAAGACAAGAATCAGAAATTAATGGAACAATGAAATAATCATTTGTCCTGATATGATCTCATGTCATATTTTATCATGCAGATAATGTCAGATTAACTTGAATTGTAGTCAGAAGGACTAATCTGACAGATTTAGCTCAGGTTTCAAATGACCATTTAATTATGACAAGGAGAATATTACTTAAAACAGAGGACATGGGGAACTGTAGCATATAGGGGGTTCAGTGGTCTTTCAGTGATCATCTGTGGAACAGTATGAGATAAGGTTTGCACAAATAATGTCTAAAAGAAGTAGATGGAAGCATGCACGTTGAAATTGTGACCTTGTCAAATCAGCAAAAGACGAAGATAGCACGTAGGAAAAACTGAGGATGGGACAACAGGAGTGGAGCAGAAGTTAGTAAAGCAAAGTCACGTACTTGAGGATTAGTAAGAATTTCTTTGATGCATTAGGAACTGAACCACAAATGACAAAGAAGAGAAAACACGCAAGTATGCTATTTATTTATAAACTGACATATAATCACATGCAGAAGTGTCATGAAAAAGTACAACATAATTCTAGGATATAGCAGGCAAGGTATATTCCAGTCAAATCGGAGAAATACTGTGAGTATTCCATAGGACACTGGAAAACTTCTCTCCAAACACTGACTATAATTGCAGTCAATTACTTTAAAAATTTAAAATTATTACAATCAACCCCAAAATTTAAACTGTAACCAATGCAGAGAAGGGCTGCTAAGGTGAATAGGGAAAGGAAGACACTACTTACTAGAAGAGACTAACAGAGCTTGGCTTCTTCAGCTCAACAAAGCAAAGGAAGGCTGAGACACCAGATAATTGCTTTCTATATAGAGTCAGGAAGCAAGCTGAGAGAAGAAAACACTATTTCAACTTAAAGTTGGCACAGGAACAAATGGGCACAAACCGGCTATTGAAATCACTCTTGTGGGTCCCTTCCAACTCAGCATATTCTGTGATTCTGTGATTTAGCCTGGAAGCCCTAAGAAGGATGCAAGTTGTCAGAAGAGCTGGTCATGGAACAGCTTTCCAAAAGCCATTCTTGGCTCTTGCTCCAAGCAAGTTTTAGATCAACATTTGTTCAGGCTGATGAAAGATTGCATGATGTTGATCCTACGACAGCAGCAAGGTCTCCACATCAGCCCTGTGTTACTGATTAGCAACAGCAAGAATACTAGAACAGACTCTCTGAAGGAGGGCTTCATACCACCTTTAATATTCACAGAGAAGCAGATGATTTCAAGTTATACAAGCTCATTAAATTGCTGCACATTAAACAAATTCCATCAGTTTATCTGCTGTGGGCTTGCATGCTGAGGCAGATTATGGTGCTGTTGTGCCAATATGGAGGATTCTCATTGTCTTTTTTTTTCTTTACAGATGTTTGTGAGGCTTTAAATGTGACGGTCTCTCCTGGACCAACAGTGCAATACTTCGAGGGAGATAATGCTACCCTTTACTGCCACATTTCTCAAAAGAGAAAGACAGACAATTTGCTGGCTGTGCGGTGGGTCTTTGCTGCATCACCTACCCAGGAGCATCTGATGATCAAAATGACAAAGTTTGGGTCTGTCCAGTACTATGGAAATTATACTCATCATTTCCACAAGCAAAGACTTCATCTTCTTAAGGAGAAACATGGAACTATGTACAAATTTCTTATTTTAAGTCTCCAGCAAACAGATCAAGGACGTTATATATGTAAAGTCCAGGAAATCGGCAAACACAGGAATAAGTGGACAGCATGGTCAAATGGCACAGCAGCTACTGAAATAAGAGGTGAGAGACTACGGATTTCAAGTCTATCATTTTTTCTTGTCCTGTGATCCCTTTTTTTTCTTGAGAGTTCATCCGTAAGACATTTGAACTTATGTTATTTTTAAGTGTAATCTGTGGGTATGAGAAGAAAACCTGATACTCAACTTCTTTACTTACTCATTACAATTTAAACACTATTCAGCCCATAATAAAATGTAATGAAGTGAGAAGGTTGGTACTAGATAGTCTATTTCCATTGCCTTTTATCAGAATAGCAGTAATTACAACTCCTTTCCATTCAGCTACAGGTCTCTGGTGGGTTGACCTTGGCTGGGCACCAGGTGCCCACCAAGCCACTCTATCACTCCCCTCCTCAGCAGGACAGGAAGGGGAGAAAATAAGATGGAAAAAAAACATTTGCAGGTCAAGAGAAAAGCAGTTTAATAAAGCAAAAGCAAAGGCCATGCACAGAAGCACAGGAAAACAAAAGAATTTCCCATCAGCAGGTGATGTTCAGCAACTTCCCGGGAAGTAGGGCTTCAGCATGCATAGCAGTTGCTCCAGAAGACAAATGCCACAATAATGACTGCCCTCCTCCCCACCCCTTCTTACCTTTTATTGCTGAGCAGACATTATATGATAGGGAATATCCCTTTGATCAATTTGGGTCAGCTGTCCTGGCCATTGTTATTTAAATACAAAGAGACAGAAATAGGAGAGAAATTAATTTATTTTCTGAAGAATATGCAGTGAGTCTGTCAGAAATAGAAGCATTATATTTTAGATCCATGTTTTGCCTCTCTCTCTTGTTGTTTCCCTTGCTCTTCGTTCTAGTCTAGCAGCAGTTAGTAAGTAGCACTTCTAGTATCAATTCTGTACTATTGTTTATGCCACTTGCAGCCAGAAAGCAGAGCTAGAAAAGCATTGACCAACCTGCTGGTATTGAACTTCGGATAAAATGACCAGCAATGAGTGATGGATGTGAACCAAGTTGAAAAAGATCCATCTCTTTGGGATGGGTCAGCTCAAATCTTATGTCACCACACCCACACTTTTAGAGATGGGTGAAACTGGATTTAGAGAACAGACTCCAGGCCATTAGTGTTAGCTGGCAAGCTACCCCTCACCTGTGGCTTTATAAACAGAAAAGTTGATTTCCCAAAGGGTCAGCTCTAGAGATAATGCCAGAAAGCAGTTAAGAGTGTTTCCTCATTCACAGAATGACATAAGTTCTTAAACGCCTATAGTGAAACATATGGATTTGTCAGGAGTGCTTGGAAAGGGAAAGGCATGTTCCAAGTAAGTGGCAGCAAAAGAAAAACCAATATAAAATGTTGCTACACCCCCTGTCATACCTCTTATCACAAAAAGCTACTCTGCATCTTTCATAGCTTCCCAGGCCATTGCTAATCATTATGTAGAAACATCTCATTGCTCTTCATAGCTAAAGTGTGGGGTTTGGATTGATTTAGTCATTGCAAAGAAGGAAATTTGTAACTTTTCAGTCCAGTCCTTAAATGTTATTTTGTCCCCAATTTCTAGTATGAGTTATGAATACATAATCAGGGTAGGGATTTGAGACTTATGACTTCATCATTTTCACATTGTCTGCTCAGCTGTAGTACTTCTCTCTGCTTCAAATGTGACCCAAAGCAGAGCAGGAAGCCTGAGTCAAGGGAGAAGGCTGGCCAACCTGTAGACTACACCGACAGTATGCCCTGTGGGGATCTGAGGAAAACACCATAACCACCCTGGCCTCCCAAAGAGGCATTTATTCTAATTCTAAATCCAAATTAAAGATACCAAACACTATTGGAAAAATGACATATCTTTAAATGCCATAGCAACTGTTTTACTGCTTAAAGCCATTTTACTGGAAACAAAGGACTGTCTTCACTAGCATTCTGCTAATGCACTGTGAGTGTACAGAACTTGCTACACTTGGGAGGGAAGGCAAGTCTTTTCCAAGTAGTGATAAAGTTTCCAATTTTCCCAACAGTAACACTTGGGCTTTTCAAGGAAATTTTATTCCAAACACATTTTGTATTTTATATTATGATCAGTTATACTTTTTATTGCAGAGGGATTTACTTATATTACAGTTAGATCCAGGATGCAAAAAAAGGAGCAGTACAAATTGCCTGAAGCATTTGGATACTTAAATTGTACTGCTTGTGCTTTATCAAATAAGGTAACAGTGTTCCAACACATCACAGTTACTGTGTTGCCTAACATTTTGTTCCAGTTAATATGTCTGCAGTTACCCCCAAATTCAAAATAGTATCTTTATGCTTAAGCACCAGGCAAATTTCTCGAGACTTTGCACATCAAGTGGATGTAGAAATAGCATAATCCCTTTTCTTTTTAGTTCACGTAGGAAGAGGAGGTCACTGTGCAAGACAGAAATTTCCAGAGAGAAAAGGGTCATTCTGCTTCTTCAAAATGTAACTTGCTCTAGAAGCAAGCTGATAGCTGGATCTGTTGTATCTGCTGCTATTAATTTATATTGAGATTTTGTTATTTGCTAGCGAGTTTGCAGGTGTAAATTTGTGTAGGCCATTAAGGAGTTGCAAATATATTTTGTTGAAACACATAAATTTATACAAATACACATACTGGAGTTGTGGAAAAATAATTGAGTTACAGGCTATAGTTCTTTAATGTCTAATGATGGCAGTTAGTTTAGCTACATATCTGGCTTCCACTTTAGGGGCAGAATACATTTCTTCAGAAAAGAAGTCTCATTGATGGAGGTGGAGTCAACTACAGTAACTTTGAAGTGTTTTCAGTAGGTCCAGCTGAAGTTTGAACTGTTGCAGTTTGCCCCTTTAGATGTGGTGAATACAAGATATCAAATAGGATTTATAAAAAGGCTGTTGTTAAATGTTGTGAGTAAATCCAGGAGAAATCCACCTGCTGATGTTGCCAAGAAGTCTTTCCTGCTTCAGCCTCTTCAGCCTCAGCAACATCTCCTCTCTAAGCTGAGGCGAACCTTTCCTCCTCCCCTCATCCTCTTATCAAAGGCATCGTTTCCTTTCCTGGGCTTGTGTGGTCAATGTTAGCCTAACACCAAGTTAGTGGTCTTCATTATAGTACAGAATGCACCAGAAAACAGTTTATTTGAGACAAAAAATAATAATAAAAAAGGAGACATGAGAAAAATGTTCTCCCACTCCCTTCCTATCAGAAAACTCAAAATAGTCAGTAGCCTTCTCAGAACAATATGCAGCACCTCCAAACCATCATTTACAGTCAGGTGATTCCTCAAGGTACTGCACATCTTGTAGGAAGAGCAATACATATTCCAAAAGGTTTACAATCCAAGAGAAGAGACTACTCCTGTTGGGGGGAAAAACATAGAAGATTAGACAGTCCCACTATAATCTTACTGTCATGGACAACAGAAACAAGTAGAGATGATCACGACCATCTGTCTTGTTGGGAAGTTTATGTGTCAGAATTTGCCACAGAAGAAAGTCTGAGTTCTGTTAAATATTAGTTTCATGTGACATTTTCTAACAGTAAAAATGTGGTAAAATATACGAATGCAAGATTTTTTTTTCCTCAAAATGAACAAACCCCCTTTTTTTCCAGGGAAGTTATTCTGAAATACTTGCCAAAAATCTACACATGTGAATCTTTCATGAAACAAATTAATAGATTTGTTAAAATATTCAGGATGAGCTTCCCATCACAACTGAACAGATTTCATTAACCCTAAAAGTTTTATATCCACTGAGTTAGCCCTACACCTCACATCCCTGCAGGGCACTCCTTAATGAATTCCCTTTCCAGTAAGATACTTGTTCTTTAATGACTTGCCACATGAAACTCTTTTGAGAAGTTCAGACCTCACTGGCAAGCTGGAGGACATCACCAGACTCCTATTGTATTACAGTGATTGCTAGCAGAAGAAAAACTATGGATTAACATAAGTGACATCATCTAATCTGATGTCATAAAAAATATCAGCATGCATAAACAATCTGGCTAAGGAGAGCAGAGAGGGTTTTGAACACTGACCCAGCATTCAGAGCATTTGTATTCTAGTGCTAGGCTGTACAACTGTTATGATATTGATAGTCATCCATCCTCCTGAAAGAGAGAGGACAATTCTGTGCAAACTTGACAGCTATTTTCCCTCTTAATTGAGCTAGAACATTGTCATTTGGTCAGCCATTTTTCTAGGCTATAAAGGTGAGCTGGTACAACTTGTGGGCATGCAATCTTTATTCTCAGGAAAAAACTGCCACATATAGGCTGGGGAATTATGCTGGCTGAGAACTTGAGCTGTTCTGCACTCAATGGTGAATGGCCATTGATACAGCAATGACAGAGCAGTTTATATTGGTTAAGATATTCAGCCTACCCTATTCCTACATCTGAGCCAATGACACTGAGGGTAAGTAGATGTGTTCTGCTTTACAGTTCAGGTATGCAATTTCTGAAGCATTTGGACAGTTTCAAAAAGTCCATGCATGCATGAGTGGATTTTTTCAGATAGACAGGTATCATAGCCATGTATCTTTAAAAGACACAGCATGGAAGCTGACTTTTGAGGAAAGTAAAAAGAAAAAGAACTTTAGAGGAGTGCTCTTACTTTGGGTCTCTCACTGTATTATTTGGGTGCTGTTGTAAGAATTGCAGAGCAGTTTGACCTGCTAAGGGACATCCACAAGAGCTTTGGAAGGAAGGCAAGTTGGGCAAGATCAGGGCCTACAGAGTCAGTGCTGAAGCTGGGGAAATGCTATCACAGAATCACAGAATCATATAATGGGTTTGGTTGGAAGGTATCACAATGAGCCATGTGGTCCAATTTCACTACTCAAGCAGTGTCATCCTAGAACACATTGCACAAGACTGTGTCCAGCCAGTTCTTTAATATCTCCTGTGAGGGAGACTCCACAACCTCTCCCTGCAATCTGTTCCAGTGCTCGGTCACCTGCACAGTGAAGTTCTTCCTCATATTCAGGTGGAACATCCTGTGCATCAGTTTTTCTGCCTGTTGCCTCTTGTCCTATTGCTTGGTGCCACTGATTAGAGCCTGGCTCAATCCTTTTGACACCCTCCCTTCAGACACTTACAGACATTGATGAGGTCCCCTCTCAGATCTCTTCTTGAGGCTGAACAGGCCCAGCTCCCTCAGCCTTTCCTTGTGAGAGAGATGCTCCAGTCCTTCAACCATCTTTGTTGCCCTCTGCTGTGGCAACAAACCCCCTCCATGAGCTCCATGTCTCTCATGTACTGAGGAGCCCAGAACTGGACACAGCACTGCATTGATGCACGGTGTTATTCTTCCCCAGGTGCAGGACCCTGAATTTGCCTTTGTTGAATTTAAGACGGCTGGGGACCTGTCAAGGTCCTTCTGAAGGGCCATCCAGCACTCTGGGGTATCAGCCACTTCTCTCAGCTTTGTGTCATCAGCGTGTTGGTAGAGTTTACTTCAGTGCCAAACATTGCTAGAACAACTTCCATGTTTTTCTGAAAGAGCTGTGCCTGATGTGGCTGGCTCCCAGTCAGTTCTCAGGAAGTCTTCAGATCTGTGTCCTTCAGTAAAGCTGCTGTTCTTCCCATTATTTTTTTTTCTTAACTTCTAAAACTTAGAAATACACTACAGTGTTAAAACTTCTCATTTGTAATTGTAAGGGAAAATAAATTCTCATTTTCTTGAGCGTAAATTGTTCATCTCCTCTCTCAGAAGTAGCATGGTTGGGTCCAGAAACACAAACTGCAACCCTAGAGGTATGAGTTCTGGGTAGCAGAAACAGAGGCAGAATAAAACCAGCTACATACAGCATTAATGGCAGCTTTTCCTCTGGGGTACTCAGATCATCCCCACAAAGCCATTACAGACCTTACAAGCACATCACCACCCTATTCCAAGGCCTAGGCTCTTCTAATGCATGTTTCAATTCTCTTCCTATTCTTCACTGCAATTAACTTTTGATTGAAGAGTCACACATTGCATCTTTCCCAAAATAAGGGGACAACAGGGAGGCAGTCTCAAGCCATATGGCTCTTGTGGAGTGTGTCAAGCCATATATGATTTGCTGGAAGACACGTCTATAATGCTGTTGTGTAAATTGTTTCATTAAAAGGTAATTATCCTATGAGATAAAGCAAGATCTTGGTGCTGAGGTCTAAAGCAGAATACATTTACTTCAAAAAGTCCAAACTTTTTATACCACACAATTTTTCAATTCTTGTTGCTTTTTTTTTCAGTGATTTCATCAAAATCTTCTGATCATCCTATTTTCAAGAAAAATCATGAAGCTTGGAAATTTTTTGAAGGTAAAGATGCATCTAACTCCTACTGCTTCTATACACAATGTTAGTTTTGTCCAATGCTACAGGACAACCGAAGTGCTCCAAATCAGGACCAATTTTGCTAGTTCCTGTGCAAACCCGAGCCTTGCCTGAGAATCCACCCCCCAGAGAACAGGTGTGCTGGACAAAAGAGAATGGAAGAGTCCAGCTTCAGTTTCTCATGTATCTGTTATGGTCAGTGGGAATTTCACAGAAGGAAGCCACAAGGATCATCGAGTCCAACTCAAATGAATGACCAATACAGGGATCAAACCTACAACCTAACCTTGGTGTTATTAGCACCACGCTCTAACCAGCTGAGCTCATCTCAGGGTCAGCAGCCTATGCCTGGATAATCACACAATGCAAATGTGTGATCACATTATTCAGGAAGGTGTTCAGCATGTCTGCAGAGGTACCATGTACTCTACACTTCTGCTCAGTAAACATACTTTGCACTGCAAGAGCAGCTTGAAGTTCCTTTGAGTTTCAAGGCAAGCAATATTTTCTGTTTAGATTAGTGGACAACTGTTCCAAGAGTCTGTAATCCAGAATTTGCATGCAGTTAGGATTCCCTCCTCCTCCCCCCCCCAGTCCCGAGCACTAGTGAAGTGCCAGCACAGCACTTACAACTGCTGTGCTTCCTGCCAGGCAGGAGTGCTCACTTGCAGGATGGCCCTGATTCTGTGGAGAGCCTTGCTTTTTAAACCATAATTTATAAACTATATTGTTGCACTGTGTAAGGGGAATGAAACACAGAACTCCAGGTCAGGGGTACAGTTCCAGCAATGCTATTTTCTGCAAGAACACTTGACCTCTGAGGCTTAGTTTCCTCTCTGTGAAGCAGGAAAGAAGCCAATACTCCCCCCTAAGGACGTTTCAAGACATTAATGGGTAGAGCATCCTTAAAGTACTCTAAAAAGAGTTCTAGTAAAAGCAGAAATAAGTAATTAAAGATTTCTTCTCCTTCTGAACAAAATACTTCATCTTGATCTGCCATAGTACAACTCCTGTCAGCTCCGCTGGGAATGTGATACAGCACCTGAATGAAAGCCATAAAGGGAGACTGAGGCTGTAGTTTTAAAAAGAGAAAAAAAATCATACAAAAATTTCAAGCCAGTGTTGCCAGCAAAAAAAGCAACTACAGATCTTCTTGCTTCTTCCCAGCCACTCAGCATTCCCCCCACTGCCACTTTTCTTGTTTTATTGTTTGGGTGTTCATTTTTTTTTCTTTTTTGTTAAAAAAAAAAAAAAAGAAAAAAAGGTACAGCTGTTTGAACTGGGAAATAATCCAACTGAAGTCCTTTTGGTTTTTGGGTTGCCATTCAAAAAAAAGGGAAAAAAAAGAAAATTAACAACCCAAACCAGTCCTTTGCTTGCTCCTGAAAGTCAGATCTCATAGGTGTAGTTACACCTATTTACATTTATGGAGATTTCAACCAAATTTTAAATTAAGCGGGATACTATAGGAAAGTTTCAGATGTGTTAAACTACTTCTGACCCTATATCTTTAGGGCCAGAGTCTATTTAGATCTTGTTAATGTAATTTTTTTCTATCCTGTCATCATGAAGAATACAGCTGTAACACTGACTGTCATCTGTGCTTGGTTTTCAGACCTATATGTGTATGCAGTGTTTGTGTGTTCCATAGGAATCATCAGCGTCCTTCTTTTTACACTTGTCATTCTCTGTCAGTCACTTCTGAACAAGAGGAGATCCACAGGTGAGTGAGATATCATTCTTGATGACTGCAAAGCCCTTATCAAAAAGTGGGGCGGGGGGTGGGGGAGAAGAGAATGCAGAAGAAGCAGGAAAAATAAATATTTCCTTGCCTTGATTGTAATTTAAAAAAACCAAAATAGTAGGAAAAAAATTCTACCAATCAAACTAGAGCAAAGTAATTTTCCTCCCTTTGAATAGCTATTTCACTTTAAATTTTTCACCTTTACACAAATGTAAGTTGAAGGTTGTTGAAACTTCTTTCAAAGGAGACCAAGTGCTGTATCATTAAGTTGCATTCTGACCAGAATCTAACATTTTGCACGAGTCACATTTCTGCACATGTGTAGAGGGGTTTCAAAGCAGTCTTGCTCTGTTCTGTTTTATTCTCTCTTCCTGAGTACCTGTCAATATTCTTGGGAATATGAGGGTTTTTATTAGTACTCCCTCATTTGTAGCCTTTTTTGAAGCTAAAGTATCATTTCAACATTCAAATCTGCCTTTTCATAATAATCTTTCAAGACCAAGGATTATTGTTTCATTCTTCTCTTCCTCAGAGAGGGTTTCTCAAAGAGGCTGCATCTACATCCAAGCAGTCCTGTTGTAAACAAAAGTGCTGTTTCAGATCTGCGGAGTAATCTGTTCAGGCTCTACTTTCATTTTGGTTAAAAAGTGGTTTGTTTGGAGACCTCACACGAGCTTCAAGGATGAGATACCAGCATGCTTAGCAGCCACCATGTTAGAGGAGAGCCTAAGGACCACCTCTGAACAGAAGGTTTCAGAAGGAGCTTATCTTGTTAGTGGCAGGAGAGAATCATGACTTTGGTGCCTCTGCAGCACTACACACATACCACAAAGGAATGAGTGACTCAGATATACAAATGAGAAGACATGTAAACAAAAAATAGATGCATAGAGAAGCCTTTGCCTGACCACAAACACATTTCAGCCTGTGGCTCCATCTTCCTAGTAATGCGCTTAGTAGAGTAACTCTGATTCTGACTGAACCCGACAACTCTGCTCGCCAAGAGGAAGGAGCAAGATCGATGTTATTCTTCCTACCCTGTTAAGTGATGACAAAGGTTTTGTACCAGGGGAGTACCCACACTTAAGTATGTTGGTCATGATGAGTCACTCTGAAGCCACAAGCACTAGACTGATGCATCCCAGTTTTTCTTTAGCAGACCCAATTCTTGGGTTAGAATTCTTGCTTCTGTTTCTGTCAGCTGACACTGGTATAAGCATACAAGCAGCTTGGAGGAAATGCCTCTTTACATTGAACCAACACCGGTTAAATATAGAAATAATACACAATATAGAATAAGCATGTACAACAGATAAAAAGTAATTTATGCTGAACTACTAAAACTTTTCTTCATTACACTAATATCTGAATAATTGCAGGCTTCACCAAATTTTTATTTAGGTGTTGAATATTATTCAGTAAACACTGGCAGCATTAAATTTACAAATTCAATGAAAATATTGCAGAAGAAAGCTTAGCCAGTCATACACAATTACAAGATTTTCAGGCAAGTTGTTCAACTGGGACCACCTGATCAGAGTATTTTCCAGAGCCACAATAATTGGCTCAGCACCCAGTTAAGAATCAGGGTATTAAAATTTCTGAAGCAGCATTGAAAGAATGCCAGTGACGGACATAGTTTCCACCAGCCCCACATTGCTTCTTCTCCCCACAGCTTCTGGGACATGGCAGCAAGCTCAGCCCTGAGCCTCTGACCCACAGAGCAGCACTTCCCTGAGAGGTGCTGTTTTCACTCAGCACACGGGCATGGGACACAGAGAGCCACCTCCCCCTTCACAACTGCTCTACCACCCCCAGAAGCACCTTCCAGGGGTTACAGTCTGACCACAAGATACCCCCCTGTCAAACAATAGCAGTGCTCTCATTCAGTCTGTTAGCACAAGGCATTATTCCCTAAAAACTATTACTTACCTCCTCTCCACTGTCAGTACTCTGTACCTCCAATCTAGGCAGGGCTAGACAGGTGCAAGTATTCATGTGAAAAGAGCCTGCAGTGAAATCATGAAGTCTATCCTTCTCTGAGAAAAGGAGAAAAGACAGGGTCAGCAAAGCAGTCCTCCCTCTGCATAACCCTAAGCAGGCTCCAGACACAGCCTTCTTCCACTTCAACTTCCTCAGTAGCCCTAAAAGAGAAGCCTCAGTCTGCTCTTCCATTTGAGACCAAGTCAGGGACCCAGGACAATCAAAACTGTCTCCTTACTTCACCTCACTGGGCAAATTTCCATCAGGACTTCTTCCTGAACCTCTGTAGTTCCCCCACTCCTGCCACAGAGACACCAACATCTTCCCTTCCCTCTCCCACCACTCCAGCTTCCCCTCCCCAGTTCCTCAGCCCAAACAGAACAAGGAGGATAATGTGCCCTGCCCCACCCCAGCCCCACACAGATGGAGTGGAGGCAGATACCCAAACACAGGGAGAAGAGGGAAAACTGACCAACCCTCTATAAGAACAACCTGGACTGATCTGGAACATAGTGGTGGAACTCATACCTGAACTAACAGTTGGAATTCGCCATAGATGAAGCTGGAGAGTGGTTGAGTTGCCATCCCTGGAGGCATTGAAAAGACATGTAGATGTAGCACTTAGGGACATGGTTCAGTGGTGGACTTGGCATTGTCGGGGTTAACGGCTGAACTCAATGATCTTAGAGGTCTTTTACCTCCGACATAATATCATTTAAACCTAAATGATTCTGAGATCCTTCTGGAAGGAAACTTGAGAAGATCCTGGCTCATGTCAGGGTTCTGACGTGAGAAGTGTGACACTGAACCCAGTTCCTCACTGAGGGAGCTCTCTCAGTTTGACTAGGTTGGCACTGCATCTGCGGCCGGCCCGTAGCACAGGGAGCTATGGGATGCTGTGGGAAGCAGCAATGGTTGCAGCTGGCAGTCCCTCTGTGGTTCTGGTAGAAGCCTTTGCCCATTTGTTATGGGAGTGATTTCTCTTCCTAATTCCTGGTTCAAAGGACCGGAGTATTTATTGCAGGGCAAAAAAAATAACATATACCTAGAGATGCTCAAAAGTGTGTCAACACTGGACGTGAGCTTTCCCTTACTCCCAATGGATCAGGCCTACTGTTCTCCTGTACATTTAAAAAAGGCCTGACAAGTAGATGGAAGCATTGCCTTGCTTGGCTTAGGCATGGCTCCTGTGTTAGCCCCAGCTCCTAGTGCTCTCAGCTCCCCTCTCCTTAGGACCAAAATGCACCTCCTAGGAGTTGTGCAGCTCCCTTGGAATGGGAGCATTTAGGTAAGACCAAATACGAAAACTTTCCCGTAGAGAGGGGGATAGTCATGTGAGTGTACTGCTGTCTGGTTTTCATGGTCCTTGAAAGGACAGAGAACAAGAAGGGAGGGGTCTGTCTATGTTGTATTCAACTTCACATCATGGCCCAGGGGTGCACCCTCTCATCCTTCTGAGAAATAAGTTGGCAGTAGGTTGACCAGAAGACCCAGAGTCTGTCCTCTGAGAGAAGCACAGAAGTCACAAAGCCACAAAAGAGCATCTTAATAACCCTGGCTCCTAAAAGGCTGCAGCAGGGGCTGCTGCCCTTGCTCAGGACTACTGACTCAAAGGAATATGAAGTAGAAGGATTTACACAGCTCACACACACAGCTGTCAGAGACAGGATAGTGGCTGGACTGGACCTCTGATCTGATCCCAGGAGGCAATCCCTTTATGCCTGTGGCCACAATCTAACTTACATTAGGAATAGCAGTGGCTCCTGTGGGTGAATGGTTTATTTCAGGCTTCTGGAAATAAATACAGGCACCACAAGGGAAATCAAAGTCTTCAAAGTAAAATTACTGGCCTGCTGTGCTTTTCCTTAGCAAGCTGTCTTTTGGCTGGGCTGACCACTGGAATGTGTGTTGCCCAGGACTTCCACAGCAGATTTTTGTTGTTGTTTGATACATTCCCCTCTCCCAAGCCTAGCTATTGTCTTCGAGTCAGATTACATTTTAATGCACAATGTAATGTATGGTGACGATCAGTAGCTCTTCCAGTGTAACCATCTGGCAACTTCACAGTCTCAGCAACACAGGTCTATCTGCAGTGCCCATTTGTAACTCATAAACTGTGTTGATATGAAGCCACATCTTCTTTCTGTTTTTCTTTTCTTTAACAGTGAAGCATTACCTCGTGAAATGCCCCCAGAACAGGTAGGAGATTATACATCTCTTTACTGTAACCAAAGGCACCAGTTCTGGTTTTGTTTTGCTAAGTATGCTGAGCAAATGTTTTCCAAAATGTTTACAGAAAGATAGAGTCCCAGGTCCATGATTCATGAATGTGCCTGTTATGTTTTTTTTTTTTTTAATGGCCCATCTTCGCGAACGAAGATTTGGGGAAAGGTCTTTTACCTTTCCAGCCTGCGCAATGGATTTTTTAGGTGAGACACAGCCTGCGCTGAACTGAGCCCACCCTTTAATCCTAAGGTTCATCTGCCGGGGCCAAGCAAGCTTGGACAATGGCAGTGAGGTCCTCAGGATGTAGGTTTGTTTAGAGTGTCCTTCTCATAGATGGATGGCCACACAGGGCTAACGACCTCCATCAGGCCAGGAGACCGGGATTTGAACCCGTGGTCGCAGCAGTGAAAGTCCTGCACGCTAACCACTAGGCCACCAGGGGTCTCAGCCTGTTATGTATGAAAAGGGAGATCTACTGGGCTAGCTGTAGGTCCTGAAAGTGCTTTAGTGACAAGCCTCTCCTTGACACTCTGATTTGCTTATTGAAGAAGCCAACTTTCATCTTGTGTGACTTTCTAGGGTTTCCCAACACCTCACGGGATGGTAATGACTTACACCATCCACATAAATAGAACAAATCTCAGTGTCACCCAGTGATTCCCACACCCAGGAACAGGGAGTGGGGCTAAAGCTGATTTTCAAGGCCTATAGTCTTATTCCCAGCTGAAGACTCCAAGTGATGGGGAAAATTCTACTTCTGCTGCAGTCATTAATCACTGTCCCTTTAAATACCACCAGCTGCCCAAAGTTTTTGATGGTGTGGTGCTATAAAACTGTTTTCTATTGCATGATTTTCCTGAGATATACATTGTGCTGGAACTGCAGTAAAAAAATATGACAAGTATTTTATAAACAAAAAAGATGAAAGAGGGATGCCTCATAACAACACAGAAGCACAGCTGTTTCCCAGTGTTCAGTGACATAAACCATGTGTTTCTAGCCTTGTAGTTTAAATCCAATACAGCTTGGTATCACATACTGTTTCTCATAGTATCTCTAGATACTACAGGATATGATGCCAAGCATAGCACACAGTAGATCCTCCAAGAGTGTGATTTTTAGTGCATTCTCATGGGATTATCACTGAATTCAATCTAACTGACACTCAGATGGAAGTGAAGTCACAACAAAGCTACACAGAGTTCAGGAAAGGCCAGTACAAACTGAAACTTTCATGTTATTCATGGAAAGATCTTTGTTCTGTGACCCTGACCAGCCATTGCACCCCACCAAAAATTTACAGAGACAGCTCAGCAGTTTTCATTTTCCCTTGGATGTTTTCTCTTTCCCCCTTCTTTATTAGCTTCTGGGACAAAGTTGGAGTTATAAAAACAAACAAACAAAAAAAGAATGGCGAGGGGGAGGAAATCAAAGTAAATTGGTAGAGAACACAAAAAGAGAAGAAAAATAAGATCTGGTTGAAAAAATGGAGCATGGCAGTCAGATAAAAAGACTCATACTACAAAATCTGCCTCTCTGGGAATAGATGTAGCAGTGATACTACTGCAAACACTACAATTAGGAGACTGAATAGCAGGGAGAAAACAAGCCAATGTGATTTCTTCACCGTAAAACAGAATCTCCAGAAGTGAAAGAAATGCACGACTCTGTATGGATAAAAATACAGCTTCATGTATTTCAGTGTGACAAGATATGCTAATGAAATCCTTGATCACACAAATGCATGGATAAAATGCATTGACATATTAAAATTAAATAGCTATGAAAGTTATACCAATATCATATTTTTTATTATATTTCACACATGGTACCATTTATTTTCCACCCTTTGCTCAAAACACAAACCATTAATTCCTTTGAACTCATTGCTCTTCACCTGCACATTCCTTGTCTTGGAACTTATTCCAACATATTTAGACCCAAAACTCAGTGTCTAAATACCCACTAGGCCAAACTGATTAACTAATTTGCATGAGATTCCTGCAGTTTAAAATTACTATGCTGCGCAAAATTCAGCCTTGATTAGAGAGGCTCAGCTCAAACTCCCTTAGTGATATTTCAAACACAGAGCAGAATCCAGTTTCAAAATTACATTAATAGTCTGGTGTCTAAGAAATGGCTGTAATCCCACTGTAGTAATACCTAAGCATCTTAAAATATTTTATATCTTGACATCAGAATGGTATTTTTACTTTTAATTGGAATCTGAAGCACAACAGGCTAAGTGATTTGTACCAGGTCTCACAAAATGGCAGTGACAGAAAAGAAAATTAAATCCAGATTTCCTGAGTAGAACAAAACAAATGTTAGGTTTCGGTTTGCTACTTGACCAATAACAAATTAAGGGAAAAAAATGAGTTAACCAAAACCCATTTCTTTACCACATTTTAAAAATAACTATCTAAATAAAAAAGTACAGTTATTTTTGGTTTTCCAAACCACCTAATTCCATTTTCTAGTGTTTTCTTTTCTTTAAATATCCTCCTTATTATTATTTTTCTTGCTATTGGATCGTTTTGTTGGTTTTCAAATCCAGAAACCACCAGGAGGTGTAGCTTTGAAAACAGGATTTTTTTTTCTTTCCTTTATATTTGTTTTGGCCTGAACTCTCTAGTCCTTCAGCGACTGCTCTTCTGGAGATAAATAATTTATAATTTGAAGTGAACAAAGTGCTCGCCTCAGAAAGCTCTCCACCTTGACACCTTGGTTCCACAGTGCCAGTCTGACTTCATGGGAACAAATTTGCCAGAACAAACCAGAACCAAGTACCCAATCCATCCCTGGCACCTTTTCACACACCTCCCCTATCTGGAAAATATCTAAGCAGCTTCTAGTTCACTCAAGTGAGTTTTTTGTCATCCCCCTGCAGACTTTTGACATGGGAAAATAGCCGATTTTGATGACAGGAAAAGTTCCAAATCCTATACTCTAATAAGGATAGTATAGCCAAAATTCTAGTAGTTTCCCAGCTCTTGGAACAGCCATGACCTCCAGGGAAACTGCTGTCCTGGTTCCATGATTATTAGATACCTTTCACAGGTTATTCTCACAAACTCTTGTATTTTTCTTGCTCTCTAAATACTCATTAGGTCCTTCAAGAAATGCACAACGTGACACTGTTGAAATGGAAACCAGGAGGCTGGAGGAGGAGCTGGAGATAAAAAACTAACTTTCCTTTTAGACACAGAACAAGACAAGCTCACAAAGAGGCAGTGTTTCAGAGCCAAGGAGTCTTTTCTGAGCCTCCTTGTTTGGTTTGAGGAGCTCAGTTCTAAGATGGCAAGTATAGTTATTGTATCTCCCAGAATTAGTTAACCCTGTATGGCCCTGGCATTTAAAAGAAACACGCAAGTCACAAATAAATTTCTCTGTAGCTTCACTTTTTTATTGGCAACACACGAATAATAACTAATGCAATGAATTGACACTACTCCTTTTCATCTATTGTGCTTAAAGTAGCTGTATCAGAACAATAGTATCTTTAAGCTACGCATCTGCCTTAATGACCTTGGATTATTAAACCCCAAAACATTTTTAAAAATCATTCTCACCCCTTTTTGCTGTTCTTTCTTTGCAGTTTGGGCAAAGGAGCCAGGCAGGACAGTTTGATTTCCTGCTGGTTTTAAACCATTTTATGTCTTGATTTTAATATAGAAACAAATGGTTGTTGTGGGGTAAGTTCATAATAGTGCAGGCAGACTTTGAAATTGGTTAAGTGCAGTCCTTAGTTTACATAACTGGTGTGATTTGTTTATAAATTGTGAACATATTTTACTTTTTAAACACTTTTTAGAAAGTTTGGCAGCAAACCTATGTTTTTCACTGAGTGCATGAAACAGAACTCAGGAAAATCAGCAAACCAGAGTCTTTTTGTAATCTACACAAGTGTAAATTCAGAGTGATTTTACCAATGGAAGTGACATTCATTTGGATTTACAACTGTGTAAAATGGTAATATCTGTTATTTTGTTGTTCTTGTGTGGGCAATAGCTGAGACATCTAAATTTTCATTAAGTCTTTGGCCCAATTTGAATATTTTATTCTATTAATATAGAGAGAATGTTTCATTATGCAAAAGAACCTGGAGAGGAACAGCAACTTGGGACAAATTATTTAAAATTCAGTGAAATCAGTGTTGTCAGTGTTATGACTATAGAGACTTTGGTTGGATCTCATTGTGTGGTGGAACTCACCAGCACAGAATAGAAAGGTCCCCACAACCCTACTGCATTAATCTTTCCCAGGGTGAGCCCCAGGTCAGATGCAGCTGAGCAACAGCTGCTTACCAAGTCACCTCCATCACTGTAGTCATCATAACTAACTGGTTTACATTCTCTTCCTACCCCAGCTGTAAGTTAGAATTTCTTTCATTACCAATTAAGCCAATACAACTTTATCTCCCTTTAGCTGCAAGCTGGCAGCCGCTGCATAGTCAGTTACCACAGCTCAGCTGACACGTGGTGACACAATCGCTGCAACCCGACTGCATATCCAAGCCCTGAATATTCAAAGCAGGATTTATGACCTCAGGCTTTGGGAGATGATAAGGGTAAAAAATCCAGACCTGGAGGGTTTTAGACTGTAATAATCCAAACATAGAAGCTCTCTTGGGTAGGAATCTGTTGAAATATAACTTGTACTCTTCCCTCATAGCAACTAGCACTTTTTCAGCATAGATGTATTGGAGAATGCCCGAGTTAGAGACTGGGGCACAGTTTCTCCATTATGTGTTCCCTGAGCATGCTGGCCCCTTTGAAGAAGCTACTGTTTGCAAATGTGAGTTTGTGAGCTGCCTGAAGACATGCTGCATGCTCTCCTGGCCTGCTGGCCCGTCAGCCAGTCTTAGCCCAGAATCGGCACTGAAGATATTGCTTTGCTGTACACTCTCCATGAGAGCTTATGCAAGTCACGGAACCTGTCTGTGCCTCTGGCCCTCAAGGGCAGGCAGGTGAAAGTTCATCCTAAGTGCAGTAGTGGGGTCATACATCTTTTTAAGGAATAGGTGCTATGAAATGAATGTTGCTTAAACCTGACAGTTTGCATTTTCTTTGCCAAGATGAATCAAATGCAATGAATTTCTCAGACACACTGTATAGCTGAAAAAATGTAAGACCCAGGGCATTTCAAACCCTCATAAGAGGTTTTTCATTATATCCCCAGATCACAATCCAGGTTATTGGGCAGGGATTCTCACAAGTGGAAGGTGTTGTGTTTGTATGAACTCACTAGGACAAACTGTCTTTGCTTCCATTGCCTTCATTTTCCCCCCCACTTATGAGCCTGTGCTTTGCAGTTCTGGGGAAACAGTTACCAGTGTGACAAGCCTGTCTCCTCTACAGCCTAAGAAGGTAAAGAAAAAGAAAGAGAAAGAGCAACTGGAGCAGCCACCAGCCATTCCAGCAAAAGGTATGAAAACAGAGAGCAAAGGTATTTCAAGTCCTTGGCACAACCATGGAGGAACAGGAAAGTATGGGATGTCAGGACTCCTGCACTCTGCCACTGACTTTGCCTGTGAGGTGAACTGTGCTTGCTCCCATCAGTGGGGAAAGAAATGGCCTGTGCCTGCTGCTGGGACCAGGCTCTCATCTCCCAGCAGCTTTAGCCATTGTGAGAAGCTACTTACTGAGTCCAAGCAAGAAATCTCAGCTCCCACTAAACCAGAGGAGAGAGAGAAGCCTCTGTAGCAATAATCACCCTGCTCAAAGAGAAGATTAAAATTAGGCAAGTTGAAATTACGTGTTGGGGGTATTCTGAGGGAAGGCAGCAAATTGCACTCTTAAAATTGAAGGTGCACTTGGGAAGTCAAGCAAGCTGAGCAGATAAAGATCAGCCCCTCACTTTCAAAGAGGGAACCTCACTTTGGGGACCTCACTTTCAAAGAGGATTTGTGACTCTGGGACCAGTCTCACAAACTCTTGGGTGTACTTTCAGAGCATCACTGCCAATGCTAAGCCAGTGGGAGACAGGAGGGAAAGGACCTGAAGGTTTACTGTGGGTTAGATCACAAGTGATCAGTTCTCAATGGGTATATTTGCTGTATCATTTGCACGCAAACAGCATGTCTTGCATATCAGATTCTTTAATCTTGTGAATTTTTCTAATTCATGAGCATTATGTTTCATTGTAAAATATGTTACCTGAAATACAATTTATCTCTGGTATAAATACATGTATTTGCTTCTCATTCGCTATTAATCTGTAATTTATAGATTGCTAATATATATACTAAAAATTACAGGGAATGATAATAATATGAAATGATCTCTTAACATTTATTTTTATAGCTCCAATTGCTAATAATTTCCCTAAGCCCAAGCTCTTGAAACCTCAAAGAAAACTGATCCTGGTAAGTAATTTTCTATGACATCATTTTCTGTATATTCTTCTCTCTCAACACAAATGCTGTAATGTTGCCAGAACTCTAGATGCAGAAACTATAAATTGGCTTAAAAATCATACAGGTTCTCTTTTTTTTAAGTAATATTTTTTCAAGTTAGGAATTATCTTGGTTCTTTTCATTTTGAGCATTACGTTACACTGGATTATGTTTTCCAGCTTTCTAGCAGTTGTCATGTTTACATATTTAGCCTGTTCTTAAATGAAACCTGCTATTGATTCTCACATGCTTCTGGCAGCTGGTGCTTCGGAAAAAGTACTAGTTACTGATAGAATCATAACTCTACTGGTTATGATTATACAAACTGCTTTTGAGACTTTTCAAGTCAGAAATGGCAAGCCTGATTCTGCACTACATTGGTGTAAGTCAGGAATAATTTGAATTGCAGGAATATGATGTATTTTTATAGCTCATACTAAGGAAAAAAACCCTCATATGACAGTTTCTCTTGGATATGAGTTTCTGTTTGAAAAATACCCCAGCAGATACATTCCAGACAAACCAGATAGATGGTGAGATGTTTCTCTGCTTTTGTAACAAAGCAGTACCTGGACAAGACATCCAGCAGTAGCAGAGAGAGACAGTTTTACACCAACTGACTTCAGCTCCCTGTATAGTCAATAGAAAGAGAGACAAGTTAGAGTAGGAGCCTGATGCTCTCAGTAATTCAGACTACTGCTCTGAATTTCCTTTTGGGAATCCTTTCTCCCTTCTCTGGCAATAGAGAGAGAGCCCAGAGAGACTAACTAAGGTGGGTGCCTAAAATTAGGCCACTGGAATAACCCAAATGCCATGTGATGGTTTCACTTTCTGGTAAGGGTTAGAATTGGGAACCTTCCCACCAATTGTCAGTAAATAACCTCTACCCTTTAAAGCATGGTCAAGGTGAGCCATAATGCCAGGTGACTTCAGAACAGCTCAGCTAATATCCTAGGCAATTCTTCTGCTTGGGTATGGAGCTCATCTCTCCTCTGCTGGTCCTGCAGGGATTGCCCCTTGGCCAGACTCTGCTCATACAGGTCAGGTTTCAGTAGAGGAAAAGGTAGAGTTTTAAAAGTCCATGACAATAGCCGTATGTCCAGGTAGGTAATAGTGGCAGGCCAAAACTGTGCTAAGAGGACAAAGATACAGATGAGAGCACTTGGCACCAGGAGTGACAGCCACCCTTTGCTGTGCATGCTGCATTAATCCCTGTGCCCAGGCACATCAGTTAGTCTTCAGCCCTCTTAGGAAAAGCTCTCACCAGTTAAAGCACTCAGACTCTTTCTGCAGGTCAATAAAGCACATCAACACATGCTGAAATTAAAGTAAATCTGCTTCCAGATGCTTTTTCTTTCTGGAATAATTCCAAGGATAGGCCTCAAATAGCTGTTGGCTCTTCCCGTCTTGCTATGCAACCCCAGTCAAGGTTCAAACACTTTGAAGGTGAGCAGGGATAAGGCCTTTCCAAACAATGAAATCAGCTTTATCTTCCCTGCTGCATGCACACAGCAGACTCTGTTTTAATGCCTAGCTGTTGGACTTTACTCTGGCAGTTGTTTCCATATGTTGCTCTTTTTCCTTTCATATTTCACCTCAGAGTGCACCTGGAGAGACATAGCAGCCCTCAGAAAACACACAATCTATGGATATGAGTTAGTTTTAAGTCAAAAAGTGACCTAGCAATAAAGTGCAATAAAGGACAAAGTAGACTAAACACAAGTCAGTCTATAAGGCACATTCAGAAGTTGAGCAGGACACTCCTCAGAGCAGTTTCCCATTTCTGTTCCTCTTGCCTCCCTTTACTACATAGTTGTCTATGTTTTAGTATTCTCAGGATAAAAAAAAAAAAAGAAAAAATAATCCAGTTTTTCTGCTTTTAAAGTATTTTTCAGTGAGAAAATTAAGCTAATTGAAGTAAAAGAAGTTTCAAGAAAGATAAAAATTGTTATTAAATACAGAGAAAAAGACATATCAAATTTACCTAAATGAAACATTTTATTTATTTTCAGCAAACTTGTCACTCCATTTTTTTAATTGTCAAAAATCTCTCAGATTTTAAATTTTTTGTCTGCTTTGGGGCAAAAAAGTATTATCATCATCCTGCCAAATCTCAGCAGGACAAAATAACTTTTTTTTCCAACTATAATTATTGCACAGCTGATGTCTACACTAGGTCTTTTTTTCACTGATGGCACATAGTTACTAGGTAATCGTCACTGCAGAGGCAGACACAAATTGCTGAGTTTCTGGACTACTTCTGCAGCTTCCTTGTGCAACCCAAGGAAGGTACCCTACTGGGGCACCGGGAGAATATTCTAGAAAACCTAAGATAACAAGCTAGAGTATAAAGGAACATTACGAAATAATTCCAGTGTTTTGGGAAATTTTTTTGTAATAACCTAAATACCAGCAAAATTATTTCCAGAGGACATGTGCTTCTGGTTTCTTGAAAGATGTTTATAATAAGCTAGAGAATTTCTTTTGTTGTTAACGTGCTAGAGTGGGTTGCTGTATAATTTTACAAGAACACAATAATCTGGATAAAATATGGACATAATCTCAATGAAAATTAAAAAAGAAGAGAGAGAGAAAGCCTAATATCATGTTCAATTGCTCAGCCTTGAGTAAAGCCTTTTAAATACTCTGCTTAAGTCATATTGCTTTTGCTTTAGCCAGAATAACAATTCTATGCTCCCTCTGTTGCAAAAATATTCCCCATCAGTGTCATTCTCTATTAGCATCAATGAGAAATGTGTACAGATCAAAGGAAATAGAGATGCTGCAATGCAAAAAGGGATGTTTTTTATAGCATGCAAGAAGCACGGAGAGTCATTAGAAAGAAGAAAATTCTAGGGACCCACAAACTCCTCTCTAAGGGCTGTTCTGCTATAGCCTTAAGTACTTAGCCCTTTGAGTTGGTAGAGATAAATCTTATACTTCCTCAACCAAATTTTCTGGTAAGCCTTTATTGCCTCCTAGAGATTAGCTGTCATAGCCCAAGAGTGTCAGTTATAGAATACCATCTAAATGAAAAGGCTTTAGTGTCTTTACATGAAGGTTTGAACCACTAAGCTGAGGAGCTCCTATGTGATTCACTACAACCAATGCAAAGGATGTGACTTCAGGTTAGACCAAACCCTGAAATCTTTACTTATGCAAAATTACTGTTGACTTCATCATTTTCACACTAAATTTTAAGGGTAGGAATACCTGCATAGATAAGACAGGCTGTAGGGAATCTTCCTGATTCTGCTGCTGACTTTAGTGCACTCTCCTAAATCATATAATCATAACACTTTGAAATCAGGTAAATATATCCTGTATTACAAATGATCCCCTTGGGCTTAGTTCTTCAAACGTACACAAGAGTTGGTTTCTGCTGTTCCTACACTAAGTTCTTGAATAACCTCTTTATTGGAGTGTATCTGGCTTCTCTTGTTCCCTGCCACAGAATACATATTGTTCCTATGTGACTTCTGAAGCAGAGTGCTTTCACCATAGCCGAGATATTTAAGAGAAGCATCCTGCTGCCTTCAGCTCATACAGCATAGGCAGCACTGTTTATTTCAGTGTGGACTGGATCACCAATGGCTCAATGCTACACCATTACTGAGATCTGCTTTTGATGATGATGATGTTAAAGCTACTTGAGAAGTAGGAAGGGATTATGGTTATCTAAGACTGAGGGAAATTTCTAGAAGTAATTTTGTTAACTTGGAGTGAAAGCATAATCTTTGGCACCCATTCTACCCTCTTGCCTTTTTCAAGCACCACTTATAAATTTTATGGTGACATTTCCAAAGCCAGCTCAGAGATCTGGATTCTCAGGTTTTTACAGATGTAACAGGAATGGTAAGCTCACATTTCTTTCTGCAGCTTTGAAAACCCCATCTTTATCTATCATTATACGCTAAGTGCTGAGAATGTGCTGAGTGCCAGCCAGTCTGAGTCAGGACAGTCCCTGCACTGAAAGTGCTTACTCTGTAGTGAGCAATATGTCTGAAAGTCTGGAATTTACAAGTATTCGTTCAAAGGACATGCCATGTCCTGCTCCTGCCATGTCCACAAAGCAGAAGGGTGTTGTTTTGAGCAGGAACTTCACACAGGTTTGATACCTGTGGAACTGAGAAGGCTGTGATTTGGTCTCATCTGTTTGTACTCAGCAAAATCAAGCTCTACATCAGTGTGTACTCCTGGATCAAGCAATGAAGACAGGTGCCCCTAAAGCTGCCCAGAAGCTTAAGTTTCCTTCACCTGAAGAAAAACCTTTGACTATGAGGTTTCAGGAGTGCACTTCCCATTGAAAACCAAACCAACCAGATCCACTGTATATTAGAACCAGTGGGCCTGGAGTTCTTTTGTGAAAGGGGTTTAGATGTGCTAGTGAATAATCTGCAGTCTGATTACCACGTCAGAGCTGTGAAATGTAAAGAACTGCTTTAGATTTCTCATTGCTGGGAAATTTGTGCCTTCTAAGCAGTGCTCCAGCTTGCTGTCCTGCAGCTTCACCCTCATAGCAACCTGGGAGCAAATTTACACATTGCAAGATTGTACTTGATGAAGGAGTTGATTTTTTCCTTGTCTTCTTTTTCATCTTACATTTAAGCACTACATCATTCTAGCCAGTCATACTATATGCATCAAGCTAGCTAGGAAAGGTAAGCTTGTCAGTATTTTGCACAACTAGTACGATTCCGCAGTAGTCTTAATTTGCCCTTTCTTTGAGAAAGAAAAACGAAGTGAAATACATCTGCTTAGTAATTTGTGATTCTGGATCTCGGATTGATCAGGTCTTCCTTTCTTCTGGATGATTTTAAATTAAAAGCTGTGCCACCCTCTTTCCTCCACATGTAACAATAGGTGATGATTTAAGCTCCCAGTTTCTTAAGGCATTGATCTCCAAAGACACCGTACATATGATATACAAAGGAGTGACGAACAGTTTTTCCCCTGACTCCCTGTGATCC